TCTGTAAACTGCTTAGAAAGAGCTGTAAAGCACTGTGAAGTGGTATATAAGTCTAAGTGCTATTGCTATTAAGTGAAAGTGACTGTCATAAAATGAACACCACAAACGTTAGGTGAACCCATTGTCTGCTACATGATGTTTTTTTTTTTTTGCTGGAAACTGGATGTAAACATCAGCTTCTGCTAAAAGTATCATAAATTGCAGTCACCTTAGGATGCTGCAAGCAGCCAAAAATGCAGGCCAGCTGTTGAATGAGCAAAATGCAGTCATGTGACTGTGGTATTGAGGGCAAGCATTGGAACTTTGAATCTGGATCATAAGTCCCTTTTTCGGGGTGTGCAGTAATTTTGAATGGTCACTAAGTGAATGACTAGTCATGAGTTGAGGACTACCTGTATATGTACGACTGCTGCTTAACTACCCTTCAGTCAGTTGATAGCCTTGTTGATATACGCCCAGCTTTTTACTCCCTTTGCTTTCAAAGAAGGTATGTTCCTCCAAACCATTTTTTAAGAAACTAAGTTGAACATCACGTTTAGCTTTTTAAACTCAAGTGGGTTTTTATTTCAACTCTGGCACTGTAAATATGCTCTTCCCCAAACCCTAAACGTGATGCAACTTCACACCTTGAATGGGGGCAGTTCTGCTATTCCAAAGCAAAATGAAATTGCCTACAGGGAGCTTTCTATGGTACAGATAATCCTCAACATACGATCGCAATTGAGCCCCAAAATTATGTTGCCGTGAGACAGTTGTTAAGTGAGTTTTGCCCCATTTCGCAACCTTTCCTCCCACAATTGTTAAATGAATCACCACAATTGATAAGTTGGCGACACGATTGTTAAGTGAATCTAGCTTCCCCACTGAGTTTGTTTGTCCAAAGTTTGCAAAAGCTATGGTCACATAGCTACAGGACACTGCAACTATCATAAATATGAGTCAGTTGCCAAGCATCTGAATTTTGATCACATGACCATAGAGATGCTGCAATGGTCAAGTGTGAAAATAGCAATAGCAATACCACTTAGACTTATATACCGCTTCATAGTGCTTTACAGCCCTCTCTGAGTAGTTTACAGAGTCAGCCTATGGCTCCCCAACAATCTGGGTCCTCATTTTACTAACATCAGAAGGGTGGAAGGCTGAGTCAACTTTGAGCCGGTGAGACTCGAACTGCCAAACTGCTGTCAGCCGACAGTCAGCAGAAGTAGCCTGCAGTACCGCAATCTAATCACTGAACCACCAGGGCTCAGTGAGTCCTGATAGAGGCCAAGAGATATATATGTGGACAAACTACCGGTAATACCAAAGATTAGTGCTTTTTTTCTTTAAAAAAAAAAGTGCCGGAACTCACACACGTCATACAACCCGCCTTGCCTACTCTACAAGGTTCCATCCAAAAAAAGTGGCAGAACTTCATTCTAGGCATTCTATGAGAAAAAAAGCCCTGTCAAAGATTATCTTGTTGTCTATCTATAATTTATGATTTTTCATGCCATATATTTAGAACTCGAACTACCAGGCTGCAATCAGGATCGAACTGCTGGCAGTTGGCAGAGTTAGCCTGCAATACTGCATTTTAACTATTGTGTCACAATGTCTCTTGGTGAGTGTCACAGTCATTAGTCACTTTTTTCAATGCTGTTTGAACAGCCCAAAATGACTATCTGTCATCTTTTATACCTCTTCTCCCCACCAAACCCCAATTCCTACTTACCTCTCTAATGTGTAGAACAAGAAGCCCATCTGAATAGCAACTGACAGAAACACTCTCAACGTCATTCAAGGTGATCACTGTTTTGGGCTGAGCAGCCTTGAGATCAGCCAGGATGATGTGACTCTTTGTGAGAAGGAGTATCCGAGAAGAAGTCTGAAAGGAAGAGAGGAAAAGCTCCTATTTCATGTACTATATTTGCTTGTCTGAGCTGAAAGGTTAGCTACTCTGTATTTGTAAGGATCTTGGGTTATTTCCCAGCAAGAAAGGAACAATTCTCTGCCATGATTTCTGCCATGATTGTTAAACATGTGGCTGATAAAATAGCGGCTCAGACTTTGAAGGAGCTATTATTGTGTGTTCACTCATGCAATGGGATTAACCTAATTCCTAAATTAACCATTATTTCCATGTGTAATATTATATTGCCCCATAAGCCTTGCATGACATGCTATGCAACTCAAAAACATCCCCTCCCCTTGTCCAAAGGCTTCTGCTAGATACACATGACCTGGATAAATACAGAATCCTCCCAAAGCACCTGACAGAGTGCCTGCCAAAATAATATTTGCAAATGCCCTAAAAGGACTCCCTGATAAGAACTTTCTCATAGATGGGACTCTAGCAGCTGTATTTTATTTTAGCCCTCAGTGACAGCGGCCATAAATTAAGAAAAAGAGGAGGTGGAGGGAAAATAGTTTTAGCCACAAGGAAGCCCATTCTGAGAATTATTATTTTGATCATTGAGTGTGAAATCTCCAAAATGTTATTGCATATAGGCTTCAAAATATTTGCTCATTCCAGGATCACAATAAGCAGAACTCTTCCCTTTACAGGAGCAAAGTGTGAGAAACTGGGCATGTTCTTGCTGCAGTTCCTTGGAAGCCAAAGCAGGTTAATAAGATGTCCCACCTTTCCATCGCCTCGGTTGACTTTCTTCACATAGTCGGCCATCACTAGCTTGTCATTGGCCGTGGTTTGGAGCTTACGATATTTGGGGTTCTCCTTCAAACCAAGGTATTCCCCCCGGAAAGGCTGGGGGAGGCTGAAAAACATAAAACCTGGATTGTAATTTGCACTATTTTGGGGGAGGTCAAGGCCTCTTGACCTGGGGTGGTGTAGTTTCATGCTTTGAACTCACCTCTTAGGATACAAACTTTTCTTCCCCTTAAAAAGTTCACTGGCACACAACTTGTCCTGCAAGGCTTCTTTATCCTTTGGGGAAAGCTGATCTCGATACTTCTTACACTGTACCAAAAAGGCAACAAGCAACAAGGGAAGGGACAAAAGGTGACATTCCTTCTTATAAAGTACAGAGACCAAAAACAACAACAACAACAACAACAACAACAACAACAAAAACACTCCTTAAAGTGGTTTGGGAACAAAGATATATATTCAGCTCAGTTACCTTTACACATGCATGTGCAAAGTCACATGCAAGGTTTCAAAATTTTGGTACCTGACAATTCCAGCAGTATTCAGGGTCTTGAGGAAGTGGGAGGGGAGAGTTTTAAACATCTGCCTGCACAATGGAAGCAGTAAGGAAAGGAATGCAGCTGACCAGAATAGACTGCTCCAGTCTAGTAATAAAAGAACTCTGCTTCATTGTAATATTAAAAAACCCATCCCTCAATATATTACAATGCAGGAAACATGTTACTGCTAAGAATATTACAGATTAGACAAAACCTGTGTGCAAGTGTTAGATTTAGGAGTTTGTGTTAACCAATGAATGATTTTTTGGTATAATTTTCCTTGTTTTAAGAAGGCATAAAAGTTAGGTGGAAACAATACTCAATATGCCTCTTGAAAGTGAGGTACCCTCTTGGCTCCTGCGCAGAAATAAAGAGCGTTTAAATGCTTTTCTTTTGGCTGTTGCAGGCTGAGGTGAACAAATCAGCCAGGCTTTCTGGCTAACAGTTTTTCTGGTGGAGCCAGCCACGAGGCCATCTGATTGCCCTTCACAGCAATGCCAGCACTTGGGGTAAGGTAAGATCCAGTGATGTGTGGCCTGAACCTTTTGCGTTCTGTGTCCCTTGATGCTGTGGGGGATGGAGGGGAGTTAATGGTGCGATTTGCTTTGCCTTAAAGAAGGGAACACGAAGGGGGAAATCACTCCACTTATGCCCCACATCGCAGGACATTGGTGAGTAAGAAATCCTTCTTTTTTACTACAATAGTAGAAATTGCTGCTTGCACAATTGAATCTTCAGTAATATGGATGAAATAAATCTGTGCAGAAATAGCAGGCTTTTTAAACATCTTCCCAGACAATTATACCCTGAATTGAACAAACTAACCAAGTATTCTGGCTAATGACACAGAATTCTGTTTGACAGCTGACATGAGAAAATCCTTGATCAAGGCAAACATTACATAAACACAGCTTAAGCTCATTCTAAGCAACCTGAGAAAATGCCTCCAGCTGGCTACTCTTTATCTTCACAGAAAGATAAAGTGAGGAAGGAGAGAAGCACTTTCAGATTTGCAAAATGCTCTTACGTGTTCTAATAAAAGTAGATTTAAACACCTAAATGATATATGGTCTACTCTACCAGGCTGATACATGCCAACAAGGCATTTAGACTGAAAGAGCAATGAATAGAAAGAGTCAAAAGTAGTGTCTAACCCTCCAGTGATGGAATATTTGCTTCAATTCTTGGTTGGTATTTGTGAGAAATTTGTATGGGGATGGGGGCCAAGTGTGGTTGATCACCGACATGGAAGGGAGGTTGTCCTTCAGGCCCAAGAAGAATTTTTGTACCTATAAGCAGAACAGAAGCAGAAACTGTGAGACCTGTGTTAGAAGGTTACAGGTAGTCCTTGATTTACAACAGTTGATTTAATGACCATTCAAAGTTACCACCGGCACTGAAAAAAAAAAGTGACTTATGACCATTTTTCACAGTTACAACAACCCGTGCAGCAACCCCACAATCATGTGGTCAAAATTCAGATGCTTGGTTCACTTTTATGACCGTTGCTTTGTCCCAAGGTGATGTGATCACCTTTTGCGACCTTCTGACAAGCAAAGTCAGTGGAGAAGCCATGTTCACTTAACAACTGAGTCACTAACCTATCAACTGCAGTGATTCACTTAACAACTATGGCAAGAAAGGTTGTAACAAACCAGTGGTGGGATTCAGCCAGTTCGCACCACTTTGGCAGAACCGGTAGCTAATTTTTTGTTGCCCAGACCCAGAATGGACTTCTGGAAGCGGCATCCACACAGAAAACCAGTTGTTCACATATTTGAATCCCACCACTGGGCAAAACTCAGTGAGCAAATGTCTCCCTTAACAACAGAAATGTTAGGCTCAGTTGTGGTCGCAAGTCAAGGACTATCTGTACATGTATATTCTGATGACATAAAGTTTATAAATAATTCAACACTGCTATTGAACCTGAACTGAAAGAAGCTACCTACATAGCTTCCTTCTAGTATCTTGCATTACAGCATGCACTGTATTGCCAGTCCTTAGCCAAAAAGCAGCTACTGCTTGCTTGCACTGGCTTCATTCCAGAACTTGATTGTTCTGGGGCTGTGAGGATACAGTTCTGGGGCTGTGTGCAAACCATGACAAGATCTGCTCCTTAGGTTTAGGCATATATGCTAAAATTGCTTCTTCTCCTTAAACTAGGCAACCTGCAATCAGCCATCTGTGTCTTGTTGGGAGCTTTCCAAGTTGCAGTACATTAAGTACTACTAGAAAGAGTGAATGAGTCTTCATGGGTTCTTTTAGTTACCTGGAGCTGCTTTCAGCAAACAATCCCTGAGTTTGCAAAACAAGATAAATGTAACTAAGATGGCTTGTGAGAAAGGATAACTGTGCACATGCGAGTACTTTCACTGATATTATTTAACCATTTGAATCTGGTAACTGAAAATGGTAGCAATTCATAAAGTTTAGGTCAGTGCCTTTTTACCATGCCTATACGTTCCAAAGACCAAATCTCCTAAACTCTTATCCTGAGTTATATAGACTGTTCCCTGACTAAGCGCTGGAGTTACAACTTCTTCATATATGGGAAACTATATACATGCAGCTATGTCAAGACCTACATCCTCTTATAAAGGCAGAAGTTCTTATTCTAGGTCAATGATGGCGAACCTATGAATGTTAAAGCTTCCACACCATTCTCTGGGTATCATGCCAGCATACATAAATCATAAATCATTATTAGAAGCACACACTATTCTTACTCAACTTTTGGAAGCCCTGGAGGTTGCATGGGGATGGGATAAACTCTTGCACAGCCTCAAAACCCTCTGAAAGATACTTGAGAATGGGGCGTGGTTTCCTGGTGTTTTTTTTTTTGGACACTGCAGAGGCCACTTAAGAACATTCTGCAAAGCTGCTTCAAGAACAAAGGCTTTGTGAGATCCAGAGCAGCCTTGAATAGGATCTGTCACCAGAAAGAGAAACACTGGTTGAAGGTAAGAAACATGTGGTACATCCCTTGGGGAATGGTGTGAGGTGCTCTTTTTGAGTGGCAGCAGTGGTATTAGGACTGATGTGGATCAAGTTTCTATTTCAGAACCAGCCTCAATGGTGCTGTCAAGGGCCGCTGTTCAGACTGGCCTAGATCTTTTGTTTGGGAGTGGGGGTGACAACAGGAAAGTCAGAGTAGGTATTTTCCTAATTTTTGATACACTGAGCCCAAAAGGTTCTAGGTATTCAATTCCTTAATTAAAGTTCAATGGACTTTTTTTGCTAGTTATTTTCCAGTTTGAAGTCATTCCACTTACCAGTCTTCGGTAAACAAAATTGGCGATGCGTTCAGAAGCCCCAGTACGGAAATATTTCTTATACTCCTTCCTTATCTGTGAGGAGGAAAAATACATGTTGGCAAGATGTTATAGGAATACTATGGGCAAACTTTTTATTCATGATATTATCTGCTCTCAGATCTTTATTTGCTAAGATTTCTTTTTGGGTAATGCACCAGATAGTAAATCTGTGACTTGGTACACAAAGGATAAAAGTTCAGGACTGAACAATTGGTTCTTCCTTATGGCTCTCATTATAATATTTACAACTGTTGTTCTCATTTTTATTTTTAAAGCTACATTCCTGCACAGTTGCAACGTTGTGGAAGTCATTACCTAATCATCTTGTTTCCATTCTCTGGGTCATTGTGGGAATTCAATTGGGACCAGAATGTCTGTTGCTAAGTGATGCAGTCATGTGGGTTGTCTCTGATTTTACAACCTTTTTTGCCATGGTCAAGTGAATCACCACGGCCATTAAATGAATCACCACGGTCTTTAAGTGAATCCAGCTAGTCCCATTGACTTTGCCTGGGAAAGTTGCAAATGGTAATTACACGACTACAGGATGCAGCAAACCTTTTAGGTATATGCCTGTCACCAAGTGTCCAAATTTTGATCACATGGCTGCAAAGATGTGACGGTTGTAAGTACAAGGACTGGTTGTTAGTCTTTTAGCACCATTGTAACTTTGAATGGTTATAACTTGAGGATTGCATGAATATGTGAGGAGTGACGGGAAAAAAGATAGGATCTCTAAAGAAAAGAGTACACTCCACAAGAAGAAAACAGGGATGACTATTAATCTCTACTGAACCAATATAAATATATGTGGATGTCACTTTTGCCTCTGGAAAAAAGCCGGGAGAAAAGTTTTGTGAATGTGGAAGCAACTTTTCTTGCAAAGTGGTATCTTTTAATGTACCACATAGATTCCCATAAGGGGAGAAATTCTTGGGAAAGTCAATTGGTACTCATTTTATATGGAAGGTGATGTTCAGGATAGCTGTATTACAAAGGCAAGAGTTAACTCTAACTCATTCAGATTTTTCTGTATTCAATAAAGGAGAGTAGCTTAGGTTTTAAGCTGAACATCCTAGGAACAGAGCATTAAAGAAGAGATATTATTACGGGAAGGCTCATTATGGCCACTGCGCTTAGATCTAGGCATGTTCTCAAATCATACCTGATAACCTTTCCAGTAAGCAGAAATGGTGGTGGCAGCCTGAGCGCGACATTTCTGTTCCCTTAACTCTCGTAGGAGTTTACGAGACTGTAGAGGAAGGGAAAGGATAGATAAGAAACCCAAAGGAGCCCATAGGAAAAAGGGAGAGAGTGAGCAGATTCCATTTTCATAATTTGCCTTGAGACTGTTGTTATAGTAATCAGTCTCTAAGGTGCCACAGGATTCCTTGTTGTGTAAACTGTGGCACAGTAGAACTGTCAACCAGAGATTTAAGCTAAAATTAACTTTAAAAGCCAGAGCTCTACTTTTATTCCAAAGGCCCCGAAAAGAAAAAGAAAGAGGGTTACAACAGCTTTTCTTTCTAACCTAAGTGATAGATTTTGTTCATAAACAATATCAACTAGCACATCCTTCAGTATTTCAGAAAGAGACTTTTCATAATGCATAGCCTTCAATCGGAATGCAGCTGGAAGGGATCTTAGAGGTCTACTAGTCCGACCTCCTGCTCAAGCAGGAGACCCTATACTATTTGAGACAGGTGGCTGTCTCTTCTTAAAAACCTCCAGTGATGGATCGCCCACAACTTTTAAAGGCAACGCTGTTCTATTGGTTAATTGTTCTCACTGTTAGGAAGTTTCTCCTTAATTTCAGGTTGTTTCTCTCCTTGATTAGTTTCCATCCATTGTTTTTTGTCCTGCCTTCAGGTCCTTTGGAGAATAGGTTGATCCCCCCCCCCTTCTTTGTGGCAGCCCCTCAAATACTGAATCATCACTGCTATCATGTCACCTCTAGTCCTTCTTTTCTCCAGACTAACCATACCCAATTCCTGCAACCATTCTTCACATTAATTAAATTAACATAATGAAACCTAACATGTTTAATTAAGTTAATTTAATCTGTAAAAATTAAATATTTTTTTTATAAATATATATTGTATATTACCAAAACATTTCTAATAAAATATAATATATATATTATAAACATCAATATATATTATAGGTATTTATTGATTGAAAATAAATAGTGAATTAGCTGGCATACAGGGTAACATATGATAAGAGTCTTCTCCATTATGGAGCAAACTACATCTTTGAGACGGGACATTTGCAAGTATAGCATTATGTGATATAAACTGTATTGCCACTTTATCTGAAGTCACCTAAAGATGTATACAGGAGCAACTAAGTATTATAGAAATCAAGTTTCAGAAAAAAAGAAAGGACTTTGCAAAAGATGTGGGCAGCACAGTATAGGTGGGAACCTACAATTAAATATATTGAGCCAGCGACTAAAGCAGTGCTTTCATTTTCTTCCTCTCAAGTCTTGCCTTTTACAATTTCTTTTGATAGCATTAAGCTGTTGTGACATTTGGAAAACCCATTTCTGTTTCCTCATCTACTGATAGGATCATACCAATTCAAATGTCAAAGGTGATGGGAAATAGGATTATAAGGCCCTTCAAATTATGAAAATGGATTGAAGATACCACTGGAAAACCAGGAATAACCAATATTTTCTATACAATCAACAAAATTCTGCTGCATACTTTATCTAGCACAGTAATCTTATTAGCTTCAATACATGCAACTGTGATATCCATTTCCCATATCATGTCTGGTATACAAAACAGCCAGGTTTTGTTTTTTTGAGGGGGGGGGAGGAGTGAGCTGTTTGTTCATTTCTATTAATCTCATAGACAAGTGAACATCACATATTACATCTACTTCTGTCCTGAAATTCTGCAGAGTCATTTACTGTATATCTGTGGTTTGCATATATATTTCAAAATTATAAGTTATCAATATTCAGGAAATTGTATGAAAATTCATTTATTCATCCTTCTATTTAGCATCTTGGTGAAAACTAGGAACATTAAGTTTAGGATATCTAAAAGGCAGCGGGATATTGGAAGACTGTCATATATTGACTATGCTCAAGAGAACAGAATACTATGAATGCACATCTTCAAAGATTTTGTTCTATAATGGTTGAACATGGAAGAAGATGAATAAAGATAAATTTAGGAACACATCTCCGATTTCTTAATTACAAGAAATTACAATGGTTAACCTTGCCCTCAATCCAGAATCTTTAAATGCCTGGTTATATATCCATTACACTTAATTCCTCACCTTCCAACTTCGGACATAGGCCTGGAGGAGAATAGCTGATGTTTTCATTTTTAAATATTTCTTCCTTTCCTGCAAAATAAAATGTCTACTTTACTAGAGAGATACAGTAACAGATAGTAGGCAAACCACTTTTTGTTTGATCTGCATGCATAGCAGCCACAGATATTGTGTACATTAAGGTTTACTGAGTTTTATTCTGGCAGAAGTTCTATCCCACATGGGTGTGATTGTCAGACTATGAATATCATGTGGCTACTGAATCCTTTTCCCCCTAGCCTTGAGGACTCATCAGGGTTGTACAAGAGGTGCAATTTCATATGGTTTTTCAACATGAAAAGGAAGAGGAAAAGCACACACTATATCTCCAGTACATATGATATCATACCATTGTAGTCCAGTTCCTGAAATTAATCACATTAACAGCATATAGTCTATAGCCCCATAAATGTTGCCCTTTCCTGTTTTGTCCCCATGCTACACTAGGAGTTGGATGCTTATTTTCCATATCTTGCCACTAAGCAAACTTAGGCTGCTTTCAGCAGAAGAAAAATTCTAATAGAGATACACATCCAAGAAATACTATGCGGCTGGGTGGATCTGGCAATGGTCCTTATAGGCACAGGCTAGACAAAGACTTAAAGCTGATCTGCCATAGAGACCTTTGCAAAACTAGAATAACAGAATAACAGAGGTGGAAGGGACCCTGGAGGTCTTCTAGTCCAACCATCTGCTCAAGCAAGAAACCCTATACCATTTCAGACAAATGGTTGTCTAATCTCTTCTTAAAAACTTCCATTGTGGGAGCATTCACAACTTCTGGAGGCACATTGTTGATTAATTGTTCTAACTGTCAGGACATTTAGTTCTAGGTTGCTTCTCTCCTTGGTTAGTTTGCATCCATTGCTTCTTTTTTAAAAAAACAAGTTTTATTTATTTTTCAATTTTACATCAAGTGTTTAGGAAGCAGCATGGTGGTTGGGTAGTCAATAGTCCAATAACAAAATCTTTCATACATATCTAAGATTGCGTTATTAAAAATTCCCTCTTTTCCCTTAATTATTATATCATATTCAAGTTAATACAATTCTAGTTATAGCTCAGTCAATCAATACATTTGTCAATATAATTTTGTATACATATCCAAGTCCTGTTTTAAGTTTTACCTAATCCCAATTACCATGTTCCAATTTAGCCTTTGGTAACTGTAATATTTAAATTTCGGGTAACCCAAATTTCCCTAATTTCATTACAAAATAATTGTCGTGACTAAAATACACATGTTATTCAGATAATTACATATACTTATTTTATAAGTATATTCTGTTTCTCGTCCTAGTACCTCATCATTT